TAATCTACCCGTCAGCGAAAAAGACGTGTTAGAACAAGCAGCATTTTGGCATTTGGTAAAAGCGGTGTAGATTTTAGCAATGCGTGCAAATCTTGACCTGATGCCAGTGCAGAAGTGGCTTTGACTTTCTGATTGCGTAATACACGCGACATTCCCTGCCGCTCTAATTCCAAAAGACTTGCTTCGACAGCAGAGTTAAAATTCGAATTTACGTCCGCCATCTCTGAATTCAGAATAATTCTTTCCCGCAGTTGCTGGGTGCGTGTAAACGAAAACGGAATAGACAATATAGACTTAAAGTTGATTGACAGCCACGCCTATGCCTCAAATCGAAGCGGAGTCTCATTCGCTACAAATTTCAGCCATGTGACGTCTCTAAATCTTAAAATTAGCAATGAGAAGCCGAGTGGAAGTTTTAGTGTCTAGGATACCCGAAAGGCTATAAGTAAGGTCTAAAACAGTGGCACATACCTCAGGCTCCTGTTAACGCCTCGGCGACGAGGAGAAGAAGATAGCTTCTAAATCAGTAGCTTCTTAATAATACATTGCATTCTTATAATAATAGGCCCCTTGCAGCGAGCCATTCTCGTGGTACAAAACCGCCATGCTGGGGCCCTTTTTCTCGAAAGGCCCATTAACTTTTCGGGCCCGAGGGCAAAACCTGTTGAATAGTAGCCTAGTTCCTAGCTCACAAGCTGGTCAAAAAAGAGGCACTTTTTTTAAAGAGGTTTGCCAGTGTAGTCATGGGCGAGGGTTTACAGTCTGATTAATAACCTTTTTCCCCCCACACACCTCAAGCCACCTTCGCCAGTATTTTTGGTTTTATTTTCTCTAACCAACAACGGGCGATTTGTTTCAAAGAGTTTGTGTACTTATGCTAATTTAGCAATAAAAAAATGCAGAAATTATACTTCTCTTTTTTGACTTTAAATTTAGGTAAAACACCTCAAAATCATTCAACAAAGAAGTAAATGCAAACGTTAAACCTACTTACAATTCCTCGCGTACCACACTGTCTGACAACTCCGGCTTAAAACTCAAACAATAATTAACACGCCATCTCGGGTGCTAAAAAAAGTTTTTTTGCATGATTATCAAATGACAATTTTGTGTTGCGAAACCGAGACAAAAGTGCAAATTATGCTAGCAGTGTTTTTTTTTTTGGAGAATAGATGAAAGTTGTGCTTGTAATGACGAATTATGACAAAAATTATGCTGGCACAGTCTTTTAAAATCTACTATATGGACTACTGGCTCGGTAGCCGAGATCTCGCCGTGTTTATAACCGGGATGCCGTTAATCAGTTTTGATTCGATAGTTTCATCGTGCTCGGCATTTATCGTGAAATAACGGTATGGGCCGCTTCAGTTAGAGATAACTGAAACATCAGGGGGGTGTTTCTGGGGTATTCGGACTTCTGGGGTGTTCCGGATGTGTTCCAGGGTGTTCCGGATTTTACAAACACCTCTTTGCGGGTTTGCAAAGTCGTTGTTTGGGTTATCTAACCTGTTGACTCCCTTTGCGGTCTCCCCAAAATAATATTTCTTTTAATATAATTATGTCATTAAAAAGTAAGCCTTTAATATGAATAATTGTTAAGCCTTATTTAAACTGTTCTATTGTTAACAACACTCATTTATTAGAATCCTGACTTTTCCATCTCATAATTTGATAACTTGGTTATTCCAAGCAATTCACAAAAAGCTTATTTTGGGTTCTGACGAGTCGCTGGCGTCGCATCGTTGGTTTGTTATATAATCAAACCGACAAGCAACGCGAACGACTTCGTAAACGCCAAACGCCATGCAAGAGAAAAACCGCTGCTCGTAGGTTAGGCAAGGTATGAACTAAAACTCGTTTGAATCATGGAGAATTCTCTTTTTAGCCATAGTTAGTAGAAGAGGTTAGGAAACCCGACAAACATTAAAGTTGAAAACAATGGTGTTGTAGTTTATGTTGGAAGCTTCCTGACTGTGCACAATCCTTTGTTTTTTGTTCACAGATTATGACTGAATAAATTAATGCGATGTTTCTATTGGTCAATAACTTCAAAATGATAGGAGTGCTATTGAACGTTGTGCACGGTCAGATCCAAAAAAGCTAACAAAAACCTATAACAAAGGGTTTCCTAACCATTCCACTTTAATTAACTATGTTTTAGCGAAGTAGCAAACACTCATTTGCCTTTCATGATCAGCTAAAAAACTAAGATTAAAATTATCGGCAGCCTTACATTTATAATTTGTTGCACTGATTTATTTTTACTAGAATGTGAAGTACTCTACTGATTTCAAACAAAATCTGATATAAAAACTCCTTTTTTCAGTGTGTACTGCTTACTGTAAAAACCCAACTAACCTGCGCCTGTCACGCAGGCTACAGTCGCTAGGGGTAAAAAGAAATCACACCAGGAACATTGATGTGTTTTCAATTTGAACGCCAGATGCCTGCAGACATGAATTTCCCGCATTCGCGATTACTCGTTAATGCTCTTTAAGATCGCTTCACTGACAACCTCGTCCCCAGGGCACTTTTCCCTAGGGAAAAGCGCCCTGGGGACGAGGTTGTCCCACCGACAATCTAATGAGGTCAATGAGAGGAGAAGGTGGAAGAAGCTGCGATCGTCAAATAAAATGCGAATATTTTGATCCAATATTGTTGACTGTGTTTTGGTTTCGGCTTAGCCCCTTTGTTTAAACAGGTGAGAGTCGTGACGCGTGAAAATTGGTTTTTACTTACGTGATACGTGAAATTTGTCAAAATTTGTACGTGAAACGGGACCATAAATCCCCTTTGCTACCCTCAAAAAGTTCTTTAACTACACAGTTTATTGCACAAGATCTAGTAGTATTTCTACAATTACACAATTCTATTGTCTGTGGTCAGTCTTATGACTGTATATAGATTTGTTCTTTAGCTAAATGTAGCATATGTTTTGAGCTGATCCAGCTTCTCTCCCAAATATTTTTCCCCAAGAAAAGTAGCAGTTCACAGTACAACGGTGGAAACAGAACCTTTGAAAGCAGAGGCCCACAAAACGCGTAAAGGTTAATTCGTTCTTGCCGGATTCTCTGATGTAGACGGAAACATGTAGAAATGCTTGAACCAGCGTAAATTTTTAAAATCAAACCAATGCAAACGTGGCAATACAGCAAGGGGCTAGTTAGAGGCCAATAATTTGGCAAACAAAATTAGCTTTTCTCAGGGCAAGAGCTACACGGCTTCTAAACTTTTTAATTAAACATACATTCAGTGGTCTAGCTAGAAAATATCCCAGGTCATTCCGTATTCGCTGCAAGCAATATATAGCGAAGGGTTATAGCATGCATTCTAGGGAAATATATATCAACTAACCAAAGACTGTATAGCGATATAAATATCTAGTCCAGCAAAAACGTTTGTTGGATAATAATAACTGAAAATTACCTGTGCAAAAGACTGAATGAGGTTCAAAGATTGCTTTGAGATAAAACTAACAGATACAACTGCTTAAAACTAATTTAACAAATGTTTCACATATGATGTGGTTCAATTAAATTCTTGGTTTAAACTTTTCTTTGTGTCAGACACGGTATATGACAAGACTAATAAATGTTTTTGATGTTAAATGATTTCTAAAGGCCGATTTACAAGGTAAAACTTCGTCGCAAGCGATGTGCTCAGTGCTATAAGCAAATCAAACCAACACCATTCTCGTAGTTTCTTATGGTCACGTGGTCTTGGAATAAAGCCGAGTATCTTTGGAGATAAGAATGAACTAACATCGAGCTGTGATTGTCTAAGACGGCGTTTCTTTGACAGAAAGTTTCGGTTTTTACCTCTATCGTAACTCAGGGGCCACGTCACGCTAATTTAGTCTCTTTTTAGAAAGCTAAAACTTGCTTGAATTCCAAAAGAAATGGTCCAGTTTTCTTAGTTAAGAGTACATTTAGGCAGTGAAACTGTTTTCTGTCGTCTATTTCAACGGATGGCAAGGAGAGACTTTAATTAACCCATTTTTGTCAAGTTTCAATGCTATTCCTGCAAAAATCACCAAAACAATAATTAGGGGTAGCGCTTCCTGATTTGTTTGTTATCTTTTGCATAACGCTACAGGAGATTTTGTGTAACTTCAACACAGAATTGACCTAAAACAGGAATATCCTCGTGGCATAGCCCCTTCAGATCAATTTATGTTTCTGAAAACTGCCAACCTACCCCTCCCCTAGTCAAACATTTTGCCCAAGTGAGACGCAAATGTAAACGTTTAGTTAGGGGAGGGGTAGGTTGGCAGTTTCTTAGAAACCTAAATTGATCAACCCTTCAATGCTAAACAAGAATCTTTATGTTCCCTTGTACTAAATAATTGCATTCGAGTATCTAATAAATAGACTGACCTCATTGTAACGGAAAGAAAGCTTTTCACGATTTTTTTTTTCAGGGACCACGGGGCTAACGACCGCCGTGAGAAATTAGGGGTTGAGACGGTATTCTCCCCCGGGTAATTTTGAAATAAAGACTCTCGGAAATGTGATTTCCAGCGTTTTGAGGAGCATTTACCACATGTTTACAATATTTGACTTCATGAAATTTTGCTTATTGTGTTAGAAAAGGCATTCCTGACCGTGATGATAATAAAAGTCTTTGAAAACGTAGCCAACGTCACAGCTATTCGTAGATGTTCTCAGAGCTCTACTAAATGTATTTTCATTGACATTTTGTTAATCCTCATCGTACAGGAATGTTTTACAGTCGAAGAGCTGAATAGCTTGCTTTATATGATATTTACGTACAGAAACAATCAAAATGGCGGCAAACTTATTGGGGGACTATAGCCCCGAGTCCCCCAGCTCCGCGGTCCCTGTTTACTTGTTTACTATAACCCTGTGCTCCCCTTATAAATACATAGTGGAAATGAAGACAACCAATCCAATCCAAAACAGTGTTGCGTCAGGTTTAATGTAAAGGTTTGCTTTGAGCAATATGACGTCACAGTTGCCGTCAAATTGGAAGCCGGTTGATTATTTGTGTGCCAAATTCTGTTTCATTTTGATCCACTCCCCGGATGTGACTGGAGGATACTTGTTAGACCCATCCATACATGTGATAACCGCATCGACATCCGGGTTAAAGAATAATGCCAAGGAACGACGGTGACGGCGTTTGATCTGCTCTTCGGGTATCAGTACACGATGAACCTGCGCGAATAAGATACAATCAGTAAGTTAATTTAAGGCAGTCCCTTGTTTGTTTATACTGGGCCGTTAGTTAGGAATCAGAGCAATTCGTGTATAAGCGTTTTGGAACAGTCCTAAGGAGCTCTCTAAATCAATTAGCTAGCGATACACCCAAGAAATTAATATTTTGACAGAGAAAAAACGTTTCGCTGACAATTTTTTTGTTCCTATATAATGCTAATCATGCGCATTCAGAAATAAACCGGAGCTTGGATTTTGGCGGGGAAAAGTGTCCTCACTTAATTTCCGGGGGTCGATCCTTAAAATGGCCTATACGGGAAGGCTCCACCCGAAAGGGGTACCTTTTTCAGGCTTCAGATATATGAAAGGGTAGGGATATGATTTCACTATTTGAAGTATATAAGTAGGGAAGGGAAATCTGTCTTTCCGTCTATAAAAAGACCAATAAAAGTTAATACAAATACTAAAAGTTAAGAATTTATGGCGACAGGAGCCCATCAAATGATGGGTTCCTGGTGGTGATGAAAAAAATTCCTAGTTTTCTGACTTTTCAGATTTTAATGCAGTTACAGCAGTTAAAAGGGATGCAGAGCTCTAAACCTGGTCTTAAAAGGAGTACCATTTTTTAATGGAAGTTGCCTTTTCTGTAAAAAATTGCATGAAAACGGTATGGAGTTGGACCTCGGGGCGGAGCCTCCCCCTGTAGAACGTTTTTTAGTTTTAACCCCCGGGGGTAAATTAACAAAATTTGTGAAAACATTGAAACGTAGGCTTAGTATGAGGGCTGCATTCTCCAACATACCGTTGATTTCAGTTTATCCGCCGTCCATCTTTCCATCATGTCGCCAATGTTGACCACTATTGTTCCTTCTATTGGTGGGGCAGGAACAAATTTTCCATCAACGTTGCGTATCTGAAGCAAATTAAGAAGCAATGGACTTGTTAGTGTAAGGGAATGCTTTTTTCTTGTTTATATAGGGCCGAGCAGAAATAAAAACAAATGTTTCTCGTCAGGATTTCTAGAAAAAAGAAAGCAGGCAGGCGTTTGTTTTTGTTATTTCCGGACCTTTTTATTCACGGTTTTCAAGTGAATACTCGCTCGGGTATTAGTTGGAGTTCTTCGGTCAAATATTAATATTGAAACGTCAGATAATGATTTAACACAAATTTGGTTTGACACATGTTTTAACAACGTAATGCATCGTACGGTATACCTCAATAGGCAAGGTGCATGAAAAACGTCGATAGGTTTCTTTTTAAATTATGAAAAGAAACGCCTGTTACGCAGGATTGTAGAATAACTGGTGTTGAAAGTAACTCTTGTTGGTTTTTTGTTCATTCCAACATTTCTAATAGCAAATAATAAGTGAAAAATAGGCGACCCCAAGAAATGAAGCGGGCGGGGAGGAGAAACATTTGTTTCTTTTTTATTATTATTTGTATTTGCTTGGCCTAATTAACGGTAGCTTTCTTTACCTCAAGTCCACCAACATCATCCTGGGTCAGAAGTGTAATGGCGCCCCAGTCAGTATGCTCTCCACAGCGAAGCTGACCTGGTTTGACGTTACTCATATCAGTTATCGTGGGGTAGTAACTATACCTTAACATAGTTTCTCCTTGTAAAGTGCCTGCTTTTTCAAATGCATGGGCAAATGCGTCAT